CACTCTAATCTCTGAAATATAAATCATTTTCAATTTTTTTTTCCAGCCACGATAGTGCTTGCATGAAATTCAATCTTATCCAAATTCCAGAGTCCCAAGCCTGGGGATCAAGTTCTGGCTGGAAAGGGGCAAATGCTGTGCGTGCCCACCGTGCCCTCTGCTTTTCAGTTGCATTTCTCTCTTCCTCTCTTCCTTTTTCACAGGGTGGGGCAGTTTTGTGGGTTTTGTGGTGCTGAGAAATCAAATCAAGTCTCCCATGCACGCATCAGCTGGTACTTGACCACTGAGCTGCGTCTCTAGCAGAGAGCTTTTCTGTTGTGGCTTCTTTTGCCCCTGCCAGTTGCTATGGCTATCAGAAAGTGTTAGCAACTCTCTCTGTTGTCCAGGGTTAACTTTGAGTTTGGTGTCCTCCTGTCTCAGCATTTTGAGTAGCTTTCAGAGGAGTAATCCTTTATATTTTTTGTTTTGTTTGTGTGTGTTTGTGTGGAGCGTGTGTGTGTATGTGTGGTGTGTGTGTGAAGTATATGTATGTACACAATATGTACAGGTGTGTCTGTGTGTGTAGAGTATACATGTACACAGTATGTGTAGGTCTGTGCATACACTCAAAGAGGCAGAGGTTGACCTCAGGTGTTGTCCGCTATCATCTCCACTTTACTGATGAGAGACAAGAGAACCTGGTTTTCACTGATGGGCTGGACTGACTGGCCAGCAGGCATGGCCCAGAACTGGAGTTACAGACATGGATGAGCATGGGTTTTGGGGTCTACACTGAGGTGCTTACACTTGCATACTAGGTATTTTGCCCAATGACCATCCCAACCCCCAGTTTTTGTTGGCTACTGTTCTAGAGAAGAAATAGGATTTTTTTTTGAGCTAGAACCATTTATGTAGATAAATGAAACTGTTCCTAAGCAATTGTTTGCTTTTCACTATATTTGTATTTCCCAGAAATACAAGTTTCTGTGTCAATATGTTCAAGAGAATGGAATTTTAAAAAATGAAATGTTTAGTGTTGTTATTCATGTATATTTTAATTGAAACATTATTTTTCTAGTTGAAATCACAATACACACAAAAAATAGAAAATAAAAATTAATACATTTTACTTAAAATTCTATCTGGATGCTCTTTCTGAACATGCTTTCTCAGTGTGCGCATCCATATCAGTGTTCTACATCTGTGGCCATAGCCGGCATTACCTGTGTGCTTCCCTGCAGTGTCTTAGCCCTGGAGTTCCAGCTGCTCAGAAGGCTGAAGCAGGAGGATCAAAGGTTCAAGGCCTGAGTAGGGTACAGAGTGACTCTGAAGCCGACCTTGGCAATTTAATGAGCTCCTGTTTCAAAATGTAAAAGTACAGGATTTTAAGTGGGATGCAGCCAGATGTAAAGCTCTTGCCCAGCATGTGCAGGCCCCGGGCTTCGTCCCCAGGGTGGCTAATGGTAAGTGACTGACAACCGACCCCTCCTTTAGTATCTTTAGCCAGAGTTCCTTTGGCCATTGCTGTGTGGCGGACAAATGAGTTCTCAGTTTTCTAATGGAGTTTGGGTGTCTGTTGCTACACCTTGACTATTTTGCCAGTTTTCATTTTAGAAGTAAAATATCTGAGACCTCTAGTAATGCTTGAGTCTTTAAAAATGCATTGTCAGGGTGCTCTAACCATTTAAACCTTTATTTTGAACTGAGCAACACTGGGGACGTTGAGGCAGGAGGATCACAAGTTACAGGCCCTGCAGCTAGAGAGATAGATAGATAAACAGACAGGCAGACAGTCTTAAATAGCCCATACTAACCTCAAACTCACTGTGTAGTAGGGAATATCTTTACATCATACACTCATACACATTAATAAATAATAACCGATTTTTAAGTATTTTAAGTAAGCTAAGTGTTTGGAAGAGTAGTGACCACGTGTTTGCTCTCAGTCACATGGCACCACACAGGCCATGAGAGCACTAGGTTTCCTTCTGGGTCAGATGGGAATTGAAACTCTTTAGACAAAGCGTTTCAGAAGCTTCCAGAACATGCTTTAATACTTTGATAAGATCTGGTGCAGTTCTTCATCTGTAGCAAATTCTTGTTTTGTTTTCTTTTTCTGAGACCTATGTAGTTGGGAACTTGATCTGTAGACCAGGCTGGCCTTGAACTCAGAGATCTTCCAGCCTTTGCCTCTAGTGCCAGGATTAGAGTGTGTCACCACACCTGCTCTACAGCAAATTCTTAAAGCACACCTGTCTATGGTGTTAGGTAGTGGTCATTTCAGATTACTTTCTGTTGCTGCAAAAATACAACTACAGATGGGAGGTGGTGCACAGCTTTAATCCTAGTGCCTGGGAGGCAGAGGCAAGTGGATCTCTGTGAGTTCAAGGCCAGGGCTACACAGAGAAACCCTGTCTTGAAAAAGGAAGGAAGGAAGGAAAAGGAAGGAAGGAAGGCAGGGAGAAAGAAAGGAAGAAAGAAAAAGGAAAATGCAATCAGAACGAACTTTGGGTAAGAAAATGTCTATTACATCGTACTTAAAGGAAGAATGTCAAGGAAGTGTATATGGCTCAAGCAAGAACCTAGAGAAAATTGCTGGAGGTTCCCTCTTTCCAGGTTATTCCAGCTCAGCGGTTCTCACTCTGTAGGTCGTGACACCTTTGTGGGTCAAATGGCGCTTTCATGGGGGTCACATATCAGATATCCTGCTTATCAGATATTTATGTTACGATTCATAACATTAGCAAAATTACAGTTACGAGGTAGCAACAAAATAACTTTGTGGTTGGGGTCAGCACAGCATGAGGGGCTGTATTAAAGGGCCACGGCGTTAAGACGGTTGAGACCGCCGCTCTAGTTTGTGTCAGTTGATGAAAGCGTAACCAGCCGGCAGGCATTGAGTTTGCTAGTCTCTCTCCCTAGTTTGTAAATGCATTTTCTTGTACATCTTGTTAATATAGTTGCTTGCAGCAGGTAAAGCATGCATGAGGCAAAAATATACTCTCTTTAGAAAAACCATGTGTTAGGAAAGAAGCAGGTATTGTATGCCTGCTTTTTAATGTATTAAATACTGTTGTAACTGGAGCGGCAGAAGCTGGTGGATCTCTTGAGTTCGAGACCAGCCTGGTCTACATAGTGAGACCCTGCCCCCAAAACAAAGCAAAACAAAAATATTTTATAAGACTTAGAGTTTGAATTATAAAAGAATAGCATGTCTGTTCTTCCACTCTGCTGTAAATTCCCAAGATGCCGAGAAAAGAGAAGTGAAAGTGAAGCAGCCCTTGCTCTCTGAGAGAGAACACACTTCTTGGTGGGCTGTGTTGCTCAGATACTTTTGAAAAAGAAAACAGACTTGAGCATGATACTGTATTTCTGAAATCCCACCCCATAATCCCAGCACTCGGAAAAATGAGGCAGAAAGATTGCTCTGAGCTCTTCCAGGCCAGCCTGGGATGGACCCTAGAGTGAGGCCCTGTAGAGGTGGTAGGGGGAGGCATCAGAAACTGCTCTACACAGGACACATAGGAGGAAACATCACAGAGACCCCCTGTTGGACAATACACTTTGCAGACCCTCTACAGAAGTCTTGGAGGAGCTTTGTTTTTGTCTTACTAAGGAGAGATTTTGTTTTATTAGGTGACCAGTAAAATTTTAGTGAATAAAAGGTAAGACGAGATGTCCATCCTGTTTGCTGGCAAGATACCATGGTGAATCTGTAGACCAGTAATGTGAATGAGTGGCTGAAAGCACATTTGCATGAGCCGTGAGCTTCCGTGACCTTCTGTGAGCTTCCGTGACCTTCTGTGAGCTTCTGTGACCTTCTGTGAGCTTCCGTGACCTTCCGTGGTATATAGTGGTAGCACATAATGTAGTCAAGGGCTTAGAACGAGAACAACACACTCAGCCACGTCTCCACGGAAGATGTTTAAATATCAGCGTACCTTGAAGTCATAGGAGTGGCGTTGGAAGTCTCCTTCTCCTGTGGGAGACACTTTCTAAGGGATATTTGCATACACGAAGCCACAGTTTTGAAAAATCTCTGGGGATTGTAAAGGTGGCTCAGGGATGAAGAGCACTTGCTGCTCTTCCAGAGAACCTGAGTTTGGTTCCCAGCACCCACATCTGGCCACTTGAGCTACAGCTACCTGTAACTCCAGCTCCAGGGACTCTGGCACCCTCTTCAGGCTTGTGTGGGTGTCAGCACATTTCAATAGACACACAGAAACACACACATACACATAAAAAATTCTTTAGAAAGAAGAAAGAAAACAAACTCCTGGAAACCTGGAATGTTTCATAACTGTTCCTTAACTCATTTGGTAAAAGCGCATGCTTTGCATTTTTTTGAGGTTGTTTTATATTTCACTATTTAATCTGAATACCGTTCATGTCATGTAGAAACATTATTTGTGGTTGTGGGGTGCTGCCCACACCTTCCCAGTTCTGCACAATGAAGGCCACCTGATTTTAGTGACATTTAGATGGTTTGTTTTATGTGTTCACAGAATGACAACTTTTGTCTTTGTTCTGTGGGCAAGAATTAGAAATTATGTGCTTAAATTTTTTATTATTATTTTAAGAAAGTTGATCATTTTCATCATGATATTTATTCGTCCTGAGTCTGAAGAAAAAAACATCCACATGCTTTCAGCTTTGCTGAAGTGTTCCACATAAGTGCCAAAGGATGTGGCTGGGGCATACATTTAGATTTCAGAGTCTAATTTAGCTCTCAACAGAAGAACATCTGTGTTGCTTGTTTGCGAAGTAAGCGTACTTGTTTCTGTCCACTGGGAACCTTGAGGTAACTGACCTTAGCGTGTAGCATTCAGTGGTGCAATACTACCTCTGCCTCCTTGGCTGTAGTCCCAGCCCCTTTCCCTGCTAATCTCTGTTAAAGGACAGAATCCCAGGCTGCCTCCCTCTCAGTTACCCCTTGGGGAATCTTATTTTTAATAGCACTTTCCTTTCTTGCCTGCATGACATTTTATCTTTCTTTTCCTTTCTTTTTGCCGTTTGCAAAGACTCTTGGGAGGATTTGACTGATTTGGTGGAACAAGTGCGTGATGATACAGAAGGTGCGTGCCTCACCAGCCTCTCTCGGCCTTTCTCCCGCTGCCTTTTCCTTTGCTCCTTTTCTTTTTGTCTATTTTCTAACCGCCTTTTAATTGTCTTCCGTAAGAAGGAGTGTCTGATTTGGGTTTTATGTATCATGGCGATAACGGAGAAGTCCCTGTGCTTGCTCTCAAGTAGTATAGCGTTCTGTGTATTTACAGTTTTCCTTAGGATTTTTGTCAAAACATTTAAAAGGGGCATTGTTTTTCTTAAGATAAAAAGGGTAATACTGTAAAATTACATCAAACTTTCCTATGACTTGTTTTTAAATTTGCTTTTATATTTGTGAGTTTCACAGCAGTCAAAAGTAACAGCAATTTCTGAAAAGTATTAAAAGTTCAGCCCACTTTTCAGACTATTGGATCTCTGGTGTCTTTGTTTCAGTGGTCTGCATCAAGGTGATACAAAGCATACATCACTGCCTCTTGAATCTCTCAGTTTTTTTTCTCAATGTCAGCTTTATTGGGATGTAATTTTCACAGCGGGTAAGGACTACCATTTTACAGTGTGCAGAGTGACGTTGATGCTTTCACAAAGCTGCGTGTTTCCATCACCACCATCCAGCTCTAGAATGTTGTCACCTCCCGAAACGGGAACCCACGTGCCCGTTATCAACCATTCCCATTTCTCCTGCCTGCCTCTCCATGCCAATCCCCAGTCTCCTTTTCGTCTTTGTAGATTGCCTACTCTGGACATCCCATAGAAACACTGTCATGAAATCCATGTCTTTTTGTTCGTGACTTCGCTCACTCAGCATATTTTCAGGGCTTGTCCATATTATGGCCAGAAAACATGCTGTTGTATGGACACACTATATGTTGTCTAGCCATTATGTTTATAGTTAATTGTAAGGAATGTTTATGTGAAAACACACAATGGGTTCATAATGTTTCATAGTGAGAAAATATCTTGAAGTGGAATTCTAGATAAAATGGTAATTCAATAATTTTAATTTTTTTATTTTATATGTATTGGTGTTTTACCCAGAAATGTCTTTGCACCACAGGTGTACTTGGTACACACGGGGTCCAGAAGAGGACATCATGAGACAGCTGTAAGCCACCATGTGGGTACTAGGACTCCAACCCAGGGCCTCTGGAAGAACAGTCAGGGCTCTTAACCAATGAGCATGTCTCCAGCCTAGACTCTAACATTTCTGAGACATGTCAGACTTGCCTAAGCCTCTGCGCCACTTTACATACAACCAGCAGCACACAAGGTTGTAGCTTCGTTAGATCCTTAACTAGTACTTTCTAGTTTCCTTTTTTAAAAAACTTATTATGTATGTGTTTGTATGTGGGAGTGTTTTGTCTGCATGTATATATGTGCGCCATGTATGCACCATGTGAATGTCAAATGCCCTGGAACTGGAGTTACAGATGGTTGTGAGCTGCTATGCAATGCTAACGTCTGAGTTGTCTCTCCAGCCCTCTTTCTTCCTTCCTTTTTTGTTTTCTTTTTATTTATTTTGTATACAGTGTTCTGTCTGCATGTTCGCCTACTCACCAGAAGAGGGCTTCAGGCATCTTTATAGATGGTTGTGAGCCACCATGTGGATGCTGGAAATTGAACTCAGGATCTCTGAAAGAGCATCTTTGAGCCATCTTTCCAGTCTCTTGTTTTTCAGTGTTTTACTGTATATTTTTGGCTGGCCTGGAACTCTCTATATAAATCAGGCTGGCCTTGACTTTAGAAGAGATCTGAGCACCTCTGCCTCCTGAGTGCTAGAATAAAGGTGTGTGTCTTTTTACTTTCCTGATTGTAGTCTTTGAAATACAAATTTTGTTTTGTTTTGTTTGTTTGTTTGTTTGTTTGTTTAGACAGGTCTCTCAGTGTAGTTTTTGGAGACTGTCCTGGAACTTGCTCCGTAGATCAGGCTGGCCTTGACCTCGGAGAGATCCACCTGCCTCTGCCTCCCTAGTACTGGGATTAAAGGCTAAAGGTGTGCACCACCGCCGCCCAGAAGCACAAATGTTTTCTAATTATATTGAAATATAGCTATTCTATTTTTTCCTTTTGTTGCATGCTCTATGGATCTGATCTTCTGTATCTAAGAAAACACTTTCCCAAGCTTACAAAAATTTGGATCCCTGTTTTCTATGATGAGTTTTATAGTTTTAGCTATTGAATTTTGGTCTCTGGCCCTGGTTATTTTGTGTGTGTGTATCTGTGTGTGTATATCTGTATCTGTGTGTGTGTGTGTGTGTGTGTGTGTCTGTATCTCTGTGTGTATCTGTATCTCTGTGTATGTCAGTGTGTGCATGTCTGTGTGTCTGGGTACACTCATAAGTGCAGAGGTTGCAGATTCCCTGGAGCTGGAGTTGCAGGTGGTTGTGGGGTGCCTGCTGTGGGTGCTGGGAATCAAACTTGGGCCCTCTGCACGTTTAATTGCTGAGACATCTCTCCTGATCCTTTCTTTTTCAGGATTTATTTAGACTCAGCTGGGTCTTTTGCATTCCTGTAGATATTTTAGGATAAGCTTGCCAATTCCTGTAAATAAGACAGCTGGGATTTTGATAGGGATTGGTTTGAATCTGTATTAACTTAAAGAGTATTGCCATCTTAGCATAATTAAGTCTTGAAATCTATTGACATTAGATTTCTGTTTATTTTGATGCTTTAAATTTTCATTTCCAGCCAGTGATGGCGTACGCCTTTAATCCCAGCACTCGGAAGGCACAGATAGGCGGATCTTTGTGAGTTTGAGGCCATCCTGGTCTGCAGAGCAAGTTCCAGGACAGGCTCCAAAGCTGCAGAGAAACTGTCTCGACAAAAAAATAAATAAATAAAGTAAAGTAAAAATAACTCATTTCCACATTTTGTTTTCAGTGCACAAAACATGCACATCTTTTGTCAATTTATTTGTAAGTATTTTCTTTTTGATACCATGCAAGCGAAGTCATTTTTGAGCTTTTTGCTACTGATTTGGTCCTTTCTCATCTACAAGTTGATTTTTGAAACTGTAGTAATGCTGAAAGCTGTATGCAGTATGCTTTTTCTATGTATACTTTTCAAAGAAAACATTTGGTTTGTTATTAGTCAGGATTCGAGATTAGCATTAGCTAATAAGCAATAACAATTATAATAATATTGTGCAGTAGGTTGATTGGACACAACCTCAGATACTTTATGGTGCTGAAGCGTCTTTTTCCCTGGTAAAACAGAGAATGCTTATTTTCTCACTGAACAGAAACACTGTACAACGGACTGTCTCTTTGGCATATCTAAATTTCCAGTTTCACTACTCTTGCATTTTCAAGTCATTATTAAATAATAGCCATTAATGAATAATAGACACACTGTGATACTGTAACTAAGGCGGCTTCTGAGTGACTGACAGGCATATAGACAGCTTATACGGCGTAGAGATGACCTGACAGAGAGGTGATTCATTTTCCACTGTGGGCAAGAAAGGAATACATTTCCATTACACTGCATAGAAAAGCATGCAATTTAAAACTTATTAGTTATTTCTGAAATTTTCCATTTAATATTTTTAGATCATGGTGACTTGCAGAAAGCAATATGCCAGAGAAGAGACTGCTATCCAATTAAGTCTTGTATTGATCTTGTATCCTGCGGCCTTGCCAAGTATTATTATTAGCTAATATTTTGTTTATGGAATCCTTAAATCTATAATAACATAATCTCCCAAACTATGATTTTATCCCTTCCTTCATCTAGATGCCTTTTGTTTTTCCTAATTGCCCTGACTAAACTCTCCTCTAGGGTGTTTTTTAGAACTGGTGAGAATGACCGTGTGTATCCTGTTGCTGACCTCTAGTGAAATCTTTTACTCTTAGATATTATTGTAGTAGTTTTCCCTAGTTGCATTTTACCAGGTTAAAGAAATTTCTTTCTCAGCTGGTCAGTGGTGGCCCACGCCTTTAATCTTAGCACTGGGGAGGCAGAGGCAGGGGGATCTCAGTAAGTCTACAAAGCAAGTTCCAGGACAGTCAGAGCTGTTACATAGAGAAACCATGTCACGAAAAAACAAAAAGACACAAAAAGGAAATTTTTTTTTAACGATTTATTTATTTATTATGTACACAGTGTTCAGCCTCCATGCCTGCAGGCCAGAAGAGGGCACCAGATCTCATTACAGATGGTTGTGAGCCACCATGTGGTTGCTGGGAATTGAACTCAGGACCTCCAGAAGAGCAGTCAGTGCTCTTAACCTCTGAGCCATCTCTCCAGTCCCAGGAAATTCTTTTCTTTTCCTAGTTTGTTACATATAAGTGTTTTTAGATATGTCAGCCTACATGTTGTTTATGTCTATGTCTATTGAAATCACAGCCTTTATTAACTTAACATATTGCATTGCTTGACTTATGTATGCTGAATCCATGCAAACCTTCATACTGGCCTCAGTCCTGCTTGGTTGTGTTATGATCTTCTATGTATGTTGCCAGTGTTTGGTTGAGGCTTTTTACATCTGCATTTGTAAGGAATATTATAGTGCAGGTCTCTCTTTTCTTTTTTCTGTCCTAAGGAAATATTATTTTCTGGAATAGTTTGCAAAAGATTGATATTAATTCTAAATGATTAACTTCAACAGTGAGGTCATTTGCTTCCGGTTTTCTATCTGGGATTTAGGTTTTGCTTTATTACCAATTCAGTATCTTTTCTTGTTACTTACTTGCTCATGTTTTCTGTTTCTTGTTAGTTTTAATTGATTTGTGTATTTCTAGGAAATCACCCACATGTTTTTCCTTTACAATTTCACTTGTTGCTAGGCAGTGGTGGTGCACACCTTTAATCCCAGTACTGGGTGGGGGGGCAGAAGCAGGTGAATTTGTGGGAGTTCAAGGCCAGCCTGGTTTACAGAGCAAATTCTAGGACACAGAGAAACCCTGTCTCAAAAAACAATTTTTTAAAAAATCTTTTTTTTCACTTATTTCTGTGAGGTCGGTGAGCCCAGTGTCTCATCTTTCCTTTCTTTGTTTTTAAGTCATTCGACTTT